TTTGTAAACTGGCAATTTTGGTTTCATTTTTAATACTTTCTTAAGGCTCTTCCAGAAGAACAACGCATACCATTGTGCGCACTTCTTGTTTATCATGTGAATGCTTGCTTAAAGTTCATGAACGCAATTGTTGAGAAAATCAGCTAATCGAAGCGCCGAACCAGTCGATTGTTGACGTTCGGCTGGACACGGGAAATCCTAAAACTTTCTGGTGATATGTTGAAGGGCTAGCCGAACCACGAGTGTACCCCACAGTTCAACAAGTCGGGATGAACGACAAGCCGAGGATTATCCAAATTTCGGTGAAATGGTGAAGGTTGATCTGGAAGCCGCGTGCTTAGGAAAGCAGACATTTGAGGTGGCAAAACCATAAAGGTTGTTGTGTGTACGGCGGCGTATTGAACATTCAGAAGAGAATATGAGCGGAAATCTTGCTGTACAGTTTACCTGAAGGCCTCATTGAAGGTCTGTTGCTATCTTTTGACGACAGATGATTTGTTCTAATTTTTTTCATTCCAATATCGTTCCGAAGAATGCTTCACTTGGCCGTTCCAGCTCAAGATACTGTGCACTTTCACACGCAGCCGCCTGGCTGTAGATTACTAATAAGGGCCATACAACCGAAAGACCAAAGACCAATACAGTGTGTGTGACTTTTGGTTCGCTATCCTCCGAGAAACGATGCGCAGTCAGTTGGCTATATATATGGACTGCTGAACAATCCGTTAAAACAGGTTACTGATCAGTATGAGGTACCAACTCGGAAAAAAATTATTCAAAAAAACATTTTATTTTGGTTTCAGATGCCAGACTTAACGACGAGTGACCGTGAAAAACAATCTGGTAGCAGGAACACTAGAAGAGGCAAGACTCGGGAGGAAAAATATTTTGCCTTAAAGAGGTTAGTTACTGGAAACTGGTTTTGTCAGAAGCCCAGATTTGATCGGATATGTCTGGGGCAAATTATTTACGCCGACTGTCTGGTGTCCTCTAACATTTACGAATTATATCCGAGTATTCAGATATGACTGAGTTTCTAGAAGACCGATGAACAAGCTCTATTTGACGGTACACAGAAATGATCGATTTGGGTGAAAAACGTCTCATCGGCTGCTGTGAGATGCTCCAGGAGAACGATGGACGTCAAATTCCGTCTTCTAGACTCACCCATATATGCAGTACGATAGTGCGTTAAAGCAACACCCCGTTTGCGTCATTGGTATTCAACCTCCGAACAGTGACATCATTCGATGGGCGCAGTTTGCTAGAAAAAACGATCAATTTCTGTGGGTTTTAAATCGCAGAAGAATGAAGCATGCTCATCAGAAGACAGCCAACAGGGAAAACAAACAAGATTGTTATAGAAGCGAATGTTTGCAGCTCGGGTTGTCCAGTTGCTAGTCAAATTGCTATCAAGTTCAGAGAACCATTTGTCCACAGACAAACAAGCATCAAAATAGTGTGCTGCCTGGCGTTCAGGAAACAGACTGAGAAAAATGATTTCTCATTATCATCAGTAACTGCGAAACCGCGTACTTGCCGTATGAGGGTTATGGATGGCATATTTTCATTCACCGATGATTTGGGGGATGGGCGGCATATAAAGCTGCGCATTGGAGGCGATAACTGATATAATTGGTGCGTAAGCACAGGCTTGTCAGTGGACTTTTAATTAGGGAGATTGAGAGGAGGCTATGCATTGAAGCCAACAGCTTGGATGAACGAGACTCATTGAGGGCGTGACTGTGTCATATCTGACAATACTTCTAACCACTGGTGTGTCCCTTCTCACTGTCCCCATCCTGGGAGACACCGACGATCAGCGATGGTAATAGCCTTCATACTTTGTTGCCAAGTCATTGTTCGACCTCTTCTGACTCGTTTCCACCCTATATTTGGTTGTGCGAAACGGGCCTTTCGAGGCACCAATCGACAACTACCAGCGGCACTAAATCCCAACGATAAGCAACTTACAATGTCAACGGTTGCGTCACACAGAGCAGAATTATGTGCTGTTGAAGGAGAGTTCAGTTAGGCCTTATACCAATCTAGGACTGTGAAGGGCAACACGTGTATTAATTTGGAGTCAGGGGGCCAGTGTACCGTTTTGCCCAGGAGCGATATATTCCATACTGTGCTTCTACCAATTTGTTCAGCAGTGTTTTGCTGGAAGATTTACATTTTTTAACTAATGAACTTGGTAAGGAAGCAGGTGATGCGCACACCCGTTTAAGATCTCTCTTTCGCCAAATAGTTTCCGTCACTCAACCGGTCTTCGAGTTGTTTTATGACCAACTGCTGCGATTAGTAGCATCACCCACCCAAACGTCCCCGCCAGTGGTGACGAAACATTTGCGAACACAGTGCCACACTTGATCAACACATCTGGAACTAATAGTATCATTCTCCACTAACTTTTTTTATGAAAGAGTTGTGAGATTTATTCGTCTGAATGCGCACATGTAAGCCTTGTACAGGTTAATTGTTTTTGCTGCAACACGCTACTCATAAGGTTGTTATACATTCTTCGACAGCCCACGACCTATTTCTCCCTTCTCGGATCTCATCGAGTAGGCGCAGTTCCCGAGTCTCCGTCACCATCGTGTTCTACCTGATCATAAACGAGAGATTCAGCTGGGATCCAGGTGAGTCTTCCGTCAAAACCAAATTGGTATGCAAAAGAGTGTATTTCGCTAAGTTCGTGCAATTTGGGTTCAAGTAGAACTTAAGGTTGACGGAAACTCGGGGACTGTCTCAAGAAGGGTGAAACCGGTCATGGACTGCTGAGGGGCTTTCAACAACCTTATGGGTAGTGTATTACGTCTGTACGTGTCCCGCGATATCTCGAACATCGTAGCATCTAAAACGTGAGATGGCCTGGTGTAGCACATTCAGCTGCTTAAAAACACCATAAACGAGAGATCCAGCTGGGTTCCAGGTGAATCTCTCGCAAAACCAGGCTTGTTTGCAAACGAATGTATTTCGTTAACCGTTTTTCTCCTTGTTTTCGTGTGAGAACAGCAAAGCTTCCTTAGTATGTCGACCAGTCGATTTTATTATTTCTCCTTTTCTATCGCTCCTGTGTCCTAGTCTTCAGAAAAAACGCAAAGCGCATCGTCCTCTTTTTCATCAGAGGTACACATAATAGATGTGAAATTAAAACTTATCACTGAATAAAGAAGGGGGCCGGTGGCGCAGTAATTGAGGTGAAGACGGACAAATCAAGTAATCGCTTCAAATACACGCAACTCATTTAGATAGATTACCATTGTGTAGAGATGGCAGGTCATTTCGTGACAGGCTAACCTGAAACGAGCGAATCACATTTCTGGACGGAGGACCCAAATGCCGTGACATGCAGTAGTTCTGCGGTGTGTATAATGGGTAGACATGTGGCCACATACGTGCACGGTAGATGTAAAGTCCTTGCAATCGCTCGGTTGGTCTGAACACTGTGATACATATCCTAGTGGATCTGCTATCCAGTCACCTGACCATCTGATCAAACTGCCAGCTGTTCGTCGATTCTGTTTGCTTGATCTAATATGCCAGGCAAAATCATTTTCCTAAGAACCATGTCTCTGTTTTAACCGACTCCACATTCACAATCAATAGCACTTCATATGAGAACTCCTATATTTTGTGAAGGAATTGAATTATTCCAGCTGTGGTTTCTTAGAGCAGAGGGCCGGATGGTTCATTTACTGCTCCTGACAGACGAAAACACTATGGCTAATCGTTTCAGAGGGGTTTGGTAAACAATCGGTGAATTTATTGCTGGGCAACGTAGTCAATTTATCAGATAGACCCTTAAGTGAAGAGGAACGTTATCTGTTAGAGAAAGGATTGAATTTTGCAGTAAGCAAAGGCGTTATAAGGGCAGAAGAGATCATCCCTAGTGTTGAGTCTGTATTTCAGAAGCTTCCTTCAATGGAAGCGGAAAAATTACGTGTACAGTTGGTCACAGTCCTGAAGTCCCAGCAACCAGGGGTTCCAAACATTGCACCAGCTGAGCGAAGGGCCTTAAACACGTTAAAAAATGTAGACAGCATAGTAATTACAAAGGCAGATAAAGGTAAGGCCATGGTCGTCATGAATAAGAGTGACTATCTTCATAAAGTTAGACAACACATAGCAACACATAGTAACGGAAAGATCACGTCAATTATGAGTAAGAGTAAAGTTGAAGTCGGGAGGTATCTAAGATCTGTGATAAACCATCTGGGGCAAGGCAAGTGGTATCGATTGTACCCAAAAAGTGCAATCCAACCACGACTGTACGGGTTACCGAAGATTCACAAGGAAGGTGTCCCCATAAGACCAATAGTGGATGGCATAGGTTCACCACCACATGAGCTGGCCAGATATCTAGCAGGTATCCTTAAACCACTTGCCGGCAAGTCACCGACACACATCCAAGATTCGTATGACTTTGCCAAAAAAGTAGCTGGGTTTCAGATAGAGCCAGACGAAGTCCTGGCTAGTTTTGACGTCAATTCGATGTATACCAACGTCCCTAAAGCGGACGCTGTGGAAGTAGCGAGAAGACTTTTACTGGCAGACACAACGCTGCAAGAACGAACGCAACTCTCCGTAGACGAGATAGTTGAAGGCATAAAGGTATGCCTAAACCTCAGTCAATTTGTTTTTGACTCAATTATATACTCTCAAGAACAAGGTTTAGCGATGGGATCACCAATATCCCCGATTTTGGCCAACATGTACATGGAAGACTTCGAACAGAAAGCTTTAAACGGATTCGAGTGTCCACCAAGGGTGTTCTGGCGTTACGTAGATGACACGTTCGTTGTAATAAAGCGGGATAAGGTGAACGAATTCTTTCAACATCTGAACACATTGGACCCTCACATTAAGTTTAGCATGGAGCTAGAGTCCACATCGGGTACACTAGCTTTCCTTGACTGCATGACACACAAGAGTGGTGGGAAATTAAAAACCACTGTATACCGGAAATCAACAGATAGTGGTGCGGTCTTAGACTACTCCTCTGCACATCCAAAAGCAGTATATGCTAGCATAGCCTCAGCGATGTTTAGGAGAGTGAGAGCACTGTGTACAGAGGAGGTCGACCGAAGAGCAGCACAGCTCGAGGTAAAAAAGCGACTTCAAGATGGCGGATACCCAGTGGGTTTAATTAAGCGACAACTAAGACGGGTATTGGTGCCAACACCAAGGCCCAACAAGGAGTGGATCGGAACAGCGGTCATTCCATACAAAACAGGGACATCTGAAGTCATTAGAAGGGTACTGAATACGGCTAACATTAGAGTAGCTTTCCAGAAGGGGAAAACTTTACGCTCGGTGTTGGTGCATTTGAAGGATCGCCTTCCGGTTGATAGGACTAGGAACTGTGTATACAAAATAAAATGTAACGACTGTACGAAGGTTTATATAGGTCAGACAGCCAGGGAATTGCACACCAGAATCGGTGAGCATAAGCGTTCCATTAACAAACCACCGAGAAACGCAGAGGAATACCAAGCGTTAGTCAAAGATTCAGCAATGGCAGGGCATGCTCTAGACACTGGGCATAAGATAGATTTAGAAAATGTGGACATCCTGAGACGGGGTTTAAGATTCACACCACAGCGACTGGTGGCCGAGGCGGTGGAAATCGCCAAGCATCCCAGTGTGAATAGAATAGAGGGGGTAGAACTTGCAAACGTGTGGAGAGCGGTCTTAGATCAGCCGAGATGACACGAGGCGGTGTGCAGTTATCAGCGAAATCGCCTGGGTCTAAAAGTACAAAATCCAAGTAGCGTTAGATCCAATTAACCAGCCCACCCCCATCCCCAAACTAATTGTCCCAGCACCCTTGGACGAACACAGGTGAACGAAATCTGTGAACGACCATAAGAGGAATTTTCCATTAAGGTGTCCTAGACTGAAGAGGCAGGGACGGAAAAATCCGGGTTCATCATAAAGACGAATCCCCCTCTAACCGATCTATCGTAATGCTTAGTCATCCCACTAATCAACAAACAGGGACATCAGACTGAACACCCAGCACTGATCACGTCACTAGTCATAAGGAATCTCACGGATTGGTTCCCTGACTGCCTTAAAACCCAATCAATCTACTTACTTACTCACTTGGCCTGACGAAGCTTTTGTGTCAAAAGCGAAACGTTGCCCAGCAATAAATCCACCGATTGTTTACCAAACCCCTCTGAAACGATGACTTCCCAATCGGTCCCAAACATTTTCCAATTGATTGAAAACCTCTATGGTTAATGTTATTTTTAGCAACAGCTCTAATGATCCGAAGCTTCAGTGTTCAGTTGATATTTCGACTGGGTGTACATGTCCCTTCTCATAGGGGTAATCGACCAGGTAAGAAATGACAGGACTTCCTATCTGTAAGATAGTACATAGATAGTACGTATGCTATGTGATAGTGCAGAGGGCACAACTTCATTTCACACAGCTGGGCTTCATCCTGTTGCGCAAATTTGTGCTGCTTTCACGCCTGTTCGGTCGATGAGGCGCGAGCGTTTTCAACCACTTATCCTTTTAATGGAGGTGTATACCCAAGTGCACTCTGGGAGTTGGGCGGCCTCCACTATCTTCCGAAAAATGCTGACAGCTTGGGAAGATGTACTGTCTTTTTCAAGAGAATTAAGATGAAATTTAACTTCGCGTTTTACTCTTCGTCGCTGATGATCCGGGATTTGCACACCTCCAAATTACGAAACCTGAGATAGAGCAGGGTACTATGTTGATCGCTTATTCACGTGGTGCAACCGAAATATACTTCCCAATGATGTTAGTTTTTTCTAGAAAGAGAACAAGCTGATACGGTGTACGGTAAAATGAATTCATCCGCACTGCTGAGTGCAAAAACGATGCCATTTGGTTTATCATAGAATCATACGAACAGCCTCACCATGTGATCGGGCTCCGTATGCACAATAAAATTCCTACCAGTCAGGATGCCAGTTCTTTGGAACGTTTTCGCAGCAGTGTGTGGTCGCGAATGTATTTCTATCTAGATATTTTTCTGCGGAACAGTCATGTGATCAATCAAATCCAGTTAGCTTGCTTGACGGTGGCATGGTGTCTGAACAGAAAAGAATAGTGGTATGATATAAACTTTCTAGCAGACCACAACGTTACTGATTACATTCGGGCCAGCCTACTGGTTATTGATCAGGTGTCAGTTCATTGTCAACACACGCTGACATCTCTGCGTATCAGGAGGAAAGTTTTGAAAGTCATTCGCCGAGCTTGGCGAACTAAAAACCTCCACTCATCAATAGCCAAATGAGGCATATAATGCTGTTCACGAAATGAAGTTCTGCATATGCGTTTTACCCGTAAGATTTTTAGGCAGGTGCTCACAGAAGATTCAAAATAATCACTGTAGTAGTTATGAACAGTAGGCATCACATATTTCAACAGCAGTAGAGAAACTAGGCACGCCTATTCGTTAGCTGAGGACTACTACATAGTCCTCATTTGTCGGTCTATATTAACGGACTAGCTGAACCTGTGGCTGACATAAAGATACCTTTTATCCGTTGTCGGGCGTCGCGGGGTGTTTCTGTATCCCTAGAGTGTATAAAACCTGTTTTTCCTTCAAAGACTGCTACTGAGAGTGCTGCTAGGATTTCAGTGGCATGTATTCAGATTTCAAACACTGGAAGGAAATCAGAGTTGCTGATATAGAACATCACCAAACGATTCATTGGTGGATCGTTAAAAATGCGAGAGATCGAAGCGTGCTATCAACTGATGAGTCTTTTCATACTTCCAAGAAAGGATGACCTTCAAAGCGAATTTTCGAGTGTCCTCCTAAAATAGGGTCGACACTGATGCCCCTGTCTAGGTAATTCCCACATTTTCAAGACATCCGGGAATAACACCAAATGGTCCGTTTATTTAGTGATGCTGAAAGTCGCTTTTGTAAACTGGCAGTTTTTGTTTCAGAGACGTAATACGCTACTCATAAGGTTGCTGAAAACTCCCCGACATCTCGCGACCTGTTTCGCCCTTCTTGCAGCTCATCAGGTAGGCGCAGTCTCTGAGTTCCCGTCAACCTTATGAACTCCTTGTACCCAAGTGGCAAGACCTAAGCGAGATACACTTATTTGCAATTTGTCTTTCGCGGAGTCTCACCCGCAACCCAACTGAATCTCTCGTTTATGATATTTTTAAGCAAGTGAATGTGCTGCAACAGCATGAGTTTCAGGGGAGTCTTCCGAAAAAGCCAAATTGGTTTTCAAATGAGTGTACTAAGTACTTCTAAGTATTGGGAAATAGGTGAACACATTGATGTGAACAAGGGACTCCACATTCCGAAGATGACGGTATGAGCCAACGTGTGATGGTAGCTTGAATATTTTCTACTTTTTTGGACAAGGTTGGGGATAAGTGGACATAATTGAGCCTGTTGTGTCATACCCAAAACTGCAAACGAAATTATTTCAAACGCTTCCATGATGCAATCACAACTGTCTCTTGAAAAAGTCCTCAAGATCTTTTGACTGGACACCTGTAGTAGACTCTTCGATGTGTCAGAGAGTGCGCGTGCGCGTGTCCATTCGTCAACCCACCACCAATCTGGCCTGTGACTGTGGTACCTGATTAGATGTGTCACATTGGTTGGCACGCATGCGCGTCTGTCCAGGGAACTGTCTGTGGGATGTCGGCACATGTGACTCAGCTGTTTTGTTTACCCGTTACAAGGCGGACCTGTTTGGCCTCATCTACTCAATACACCCGTGTCCTTACCTACGTGTTTTCTGACTTACTTTGAACTTACAATAACACCATTTTCATTCGAGAGGCATTTTTGATTCTACGCGGAAGTTATGGAGTTATTAGACAGGTTTGCTTGAAATAACACACTACTCATAAGCTTATTGGATAGTGCACTACCGGCTTCGCCCTTGTTAGGGCTTATCGCGCACCAAATTCTGCGAACCTGGTTAAGTATATTCCTTTTCAACTCAAGTTGGCGTTACCCGGGGACTTACCTGAATCTCTCGTTTACTAAATTTGACATGAAGCACCCTGAAAAACGCATTCTCAGACCTTTGGGACACCATAAGAAAGCTAAAACAAAAATGTGTGATAGTTGCGGGTGTAATTAGTGATTTGGATAAGAAACGGATGGGTGGATAGGATGGGCAAAACTACTCACGCTCAACATGGGCTATCTTATCCCTTCACCAGAGGTCACTAACACCGGTGTCTTGAGAATCAGCGAAGTTGCTTCAGTTTGGATAGCACTAGGTAGCTAGTACATGGAGCCAATTATAAGACCGAACAAGTAAATAACCATCAAGGAGTCTGCATTTGCAAGATCACTTGCAAGGTCTAAACTATATTGAGTAGAAACTAGAATTAATGTCCCATATGTTGTGCCCCCCAACGACATGTGCATCTCAAGAGTTGTCTCGAGGACCGTCTGAGTTGATGTTCAAATTATCGTAATATTTTGCCTTGATATAATGAACTACGTCACCACCTATCAGGAAGCAGAATATTTGGTAGTATATACGCCCTATCTTGTATTTGAGTAAGAATGTACATTCATGCAAGGTTCGAAACAATGACTGCCCGGCGTGTTGAAAACAAGCGGTATATGCAGTAGACTGTCAACGATTTTCTTCAATTACATGAATGATATGTTGCAGTTTTTACGCTAGTCGGTGATTAATCACAATTGTTTAGATTGTACTAGCTTTGTTACGAGGGCTGGACACCGCGTGTAGGATGCGGCTATTTCGAGACGCCATAACCACTCCTTGGTTACTTGTGTCCTGGTCAACTTACTGGAGCAGAAAAATTAAATCGACGCCCGAAATTTCATTTGCAAATAGGCTTTAAGGCAAAATTAGAAAGTTTCGAAGATTCAAAACACAAGTGGAGCTTCCCGGATGTCGTAATCAACCGGTTGGTTATTTTACTTCAGAAAACAAATTTGCCTTCACAGTCTCCAAGCGACTGATAGCAAAGTTCCGCTGCCGAATGGTGCCAAATACCCTCAAAGATGGTACTAGCATCCCAACTATCTTATTTCGGATGGTCGCTGCGCTATACACGCTACCTTCTACTAGCTTTCAGAAAGTTAGTGACTCACATATCTGCTCGGCTTACGTTACTCAAAGAAATTAGCAGCACAAAATCTCCTTCAATCACTGGTCTGCAAGTATGCCGTAGCCTTTTCACTCGTAGATTATGCTAAATGCTTTTGTCACAATCAGTCAAATGCACTAATTCATGGTCATCATCATCATCATCGACAGCATGACATCAGTGTTCAACACCGATGCCTCACTGCCGTACAACCATGATTTATTTGAAAGCCTTATTGTAAAGAAAAGAATAAAGATGGATGGGGGATGGACTTAGTGCTAGCATAACACAATCATTCCGAGGTGCATACACCTCCAGACATTCACTCAGGCAATCTGGATAGAAACTGACAACAAGAACGCCACTGACATCGGTT